AAATTAAAATATTTTTATTCTGCGATCATTTGTAATCTAGTTTTTGAGCGAAAATATTATAAAAATTAAAGTGAGTGCATTTTGTTAACCATGGGAGGGCGCACATCAATTGAAAAGCGTGAGTTAGTGTTGGAGTACTTTAAAAAGGGAATTCCCCAGCGTAAAATTGGTGAAATGGTAAATATAAGCTCTTCAACAGTTCAACACATAATTGAACGCTTCGTACATGAAAATCGCATAGAAAATAAGGGACGAAAGGCTCCCAATAAAATTTTTACAGAAAAAGAATCGAGGTATTTGGTAAACCAAATTCAAAAAAATCCAACAACTAGCGCTCCAAAGTTGACAGACATGGCCAAAATAGATTTTGGAAAAATTTGTCATCCTGAAACCGTCCGCAGAATATTGAGAGAATCAAATTTCAATGGAAGAATAGCTGTAAAGAAACCTTTCGTAAGTGCAAAAAATAGAATTAAAAGGTTGCAGTTTGCACGAGAGCATTTAAATAAGAGTCCAGCATTTTGGCGAAATGTACTTTTTGCAGACGAAATCAAAATAAACTTATTTGGATCAGATGGAAGATCTTATGTATGGCGCGAAGTCAATTCTGAGCTCAAACCACAAAATTACGTGCTACCGTAAAACACGGAGGTGGTAATGTTATGGTTTGGGCATGTATGTCATCAAATGGAGTAGGAAATTTGGTCTCCATCGAAGAATCTATGAATAAAAATATTTACTTAAAGCTTCTTCAAGAAAATTTGATTCAAAGTGCAACGAAATTGCAGATTGCAGATGATTTTCGCTTTTACCAAGACAACGACCCTAAGCACAAGTCAGCATTAGTACAAACGTGGTTGATATGGCAATGCCCACACATTGTCCAAACTCCTGCACAATCACCAGACTTGAACGTTATTGAAAATTTGTGGTCCGTTTTGAAGACTAATATCAGAAAGCATGACATCCGCAACAAATTTGACTTAAGAAACGCTTTACAGCAAGAGTGGAGTAAAATTAGTCCAGATTATACCAAAAAACTGGTTGATTCCATGCCAAAAAGGCTTCATGCTGTTATTACTAATAAGGGATATCCAACAAAGTACTAAGTACTTAGAATTAGTCCGGAAGTTTGTAAAAATATTAGTTTTTTTGATGTTGCATCATTTAAGCTGTGACATGAATTTTTCATTTGGTTTTGGTTTTTGATGCATTACTAAGGAATGGAAGAAGATTTTTGGGTTATTTTTTTTTTAAATGAATAAACACACTATAAACAATAACTCTGCATACTTTGTTTTTTTAATTTTGCAAAATATTTTGAAATAAACAACATTTTTCAAAAAATTTTTGCTTGCATCAAATAAGCTGTGAGCCACTGTATTTGACGTATTGTTTCAAAAATTGGAGCAAACTACATCAAAAATTTTCTTCCGGATTTGTAATTAAAAAACTTTTTTTTAAAATTTTGTCTTATATAAATACATAATTGGGTTTGTCAAATGAGTTACTTAAACTTGGTAAAAATATTCGTATTATCCGTGAACATCACATAAATTTATATTTATTGATATGTTGAAGAGCTAAGATCCAAAAAGGAAATTGTTTAATGTCATGTCAATTTCACATATTAGATGCACTACACCACTTTTTTCTCGCCTGGATACGCAAATAAACCGTTAAGAACATTATCTTTAAATGCACAGAATCACAGCTATTTTCCAGGAAAAAAAGTATGTGAGTGCACTACCAAAGAATGCAATTCCGCACATACTGAGCAGCCAATTGCAGTCGCAAACCCGTAGTTGGGGCTACTTACCGCAAGCCAAATAAAAATCAGAAAATCTGTTACCGAAGCACAAACGGAACAATGTCGGTCCGCAGCGATGGTACAGACAAAAAGACTCAGTGCATGGCACAATCGAAAGACTACATTGGAAAAAATCTATGGAGAAAAGCTTAGAAAGAAAATTTTACAATGAGAACTTGTTTATCTTTTGAGTTATGGAGCAATTGTTTATGCGTTGCTTTCGTCTAAATTTTTTATCTATAATTTACAATTAAAAATGTTCAAGTGAATGCGGAGCAAATGTTTAGAATGTAAAAAAAACTTGGCTTAGATTTGTACGCATACTTTTATGGAATATATTTTTTACTACTTTATTAGCCTAAGTATTTTATAATTCAAACGTTTGTCTTGATGTGGTTAGAGAAATTAACAGACCGCTTTGCACATGTACACTTCAACCAACTTAGATACAACTGTATGTGTACTGATTAGATATACTATATAACAAGGAAATCGTTTAGAATTGTTAGTGGCGCAAAATGAAGGCAACGAAAACTTACGCTGTGACTGTTCTACGGTTGCAACGAATGTGAAGAAAATCATTGCTCGTTTCAATGGCTATTGCCTGGCGTTTATAATTTTAACAAGTGCGATATAATTGTTAAAATAATAGACACTGAGGTAAACGGTCTATTATTCACAAGATCAGCATATCAGCAGATCAATAGTTTAGTGTGCCACCTGCAATCTTCACATTTTTTCCGCTTACAACTTAAACTGTTATGTACATTCTAAACTTTTAATTGCAATATACAACACAATTAATTAAAAAATATACATATTTATATATTTATATATTTAGTTTATGTTAATTCTCTCACCTAATAATGTATGGTATTTTTCTTTTTGCAGCTTCGTATTAGTTTAGTTTTAGCTGGTAATGAATTGTGGCCCGTTGAGCGGCCGGAAGGTATGCCAAACATAGTCTCATTAGAAGTGATGTGCGGTAAAGACCACATGGATGTCCATTTAACATTCTCGCATCCATTTGAGGGTATTGTCAGTTCAAAAGGTAAGTTTCAATTCGAAAGCCAATTATTTTGTATAAAATATATAAAATGAAAAGATTTATTAGTTTTGCTTTTAAAAGGAAAATTCAACTTTGACTTATTATCAATTTTTCTAATTTTTAAACTTTTTCTTCTATCAAAAACAGGTCAACATAGTGACCCGCGTTGTGTTTATGTGCCTCCATCGACAGGCAAAACGTTTTTCTCCTTCAGAATATCGTACTCACGTTGTGGCACAAAACCAGATTTACATGGACAATTCTATGAGAATACGGTAAGTAGCTGAGCATTGGTGCAGGCAGCAATTTTCAATTTGACTAAAATGATTAATTTGAAGCAATTATTCTAAAATCGACATACCAGCTGTCGAATAGGATAAATGAAAAATGCATTCCTCGCCATCGAACAAGCTAAAATGGACATAAGACTTGATACTAAATTTATCAAAAACCATGTATATATGTATATATTTATATGTATAATATCTCAGCACACACATTCTTCTGAAACCAACAACATCTCTCTCTCTTTTCTTAGCCATTTACAATACCTTGAATACATTTAACATCATCGCACAAGAATATGATGTCCTATATAAAAAAAAAAAATTTTATTGACTGATAAATACTTGGAATTACTAAAAAAATTTTAAAATTTACTTGTCCCTAAAAACTCTATATATTATATATCCAAATTGTTTAAAACTGAGTTCTATAAACATTTATAATATTCTATCAATAATAAAGAACCAAAAAGATGAGATAATGTTAAACAGTTTTCTCTACTAAATGTAAATAATTGATCGGTTCAGATACACCAACACATAAATTAGTTTTAACTAATTTACCCAACGAATTTACTATATTTGAGTTTCTGATAAAAATTAAGAAAATTAAGAATATATGTTAAAGCAACCATGCTTTAGTACAAAAAACCTGAGATGATTATTAAATCTGCCGATTATATATTTCGCGTTCACTGCTATTATAATTGCCACAACATAAATAAACATTTACTCACTTATTGTTATTACTTTTTAATATCATTTTCATAAAATAATTTTAACGTTTCTGCACTCAGGTTGTGGTCCAATACGACAAAGATCTGCTTGAAGTTTGGGATGAAGCGAAACGTTTACGTTGCGAGTGGTTTAACGATTATGAGAAAACAGCCTCAAAGCCACCGATGGTAATTGCTGATTTGGATGTAATTCAACTTGATTTCAGAGGTAATTTCGAACAAATGTATCAGTAATTTTATTGATTTAACGATGGTCAGTTCAAATAAAAACAAAAAGTTAAACGAATTTACAAGGAAAGGTAACTCGCAATACTCATATGCGTAATTTGTTGCCTTTAAGTTTAACATATTTTCATTGTGAAAAAAAAATACAATTAAAGATTTTATCAATATATAATAAAAATCATTCTCATTATAAACTTTAGGCGATAATGTCGACTGCTGGATGGAAATACAACATGGCAAGGGTCCATGGGCACCTCCAGTAAGCGGAATTGTTCCACTGGGTTCTACTCTGACGCTTGTTGTGGCCATTAATGATTATCGCGGTAAGTAGATCAATCAAATAAATTTATTAAAATAAATGTTTTTTAACAGCTATTTTTATAATATTAAAAAAAAAATTAAGTCAAGATCACACTATGCAATTTTTGGTTTACAAATTATAACAGTTCAAGTTAGTATAACAGTTAAAAACTATGCGCGATTAATTCTTTCAACTGATTTGCATTTTTTGAATTTACTCCATTTATTTAAAAATAAACTGGAAATAATTTTATGATAATTATTTACTTATTTAAAAATATTTTAATATATATATTTAACAGAACGAAATAGAAATATATTTATCTGGTTCTAATTTTGGGGAACGATATTCTTTTCCGATTTTTGTATGCTTTCAGACCGCAACTTTGCCTTATTTAAATGTTTCTTCAGTTCTAGTGATATTTTCCTAGAAGTTTCATTGTTGAGAAGGAAATCTACTGCCCTGTTAGGAGTTTTAAGTAACTCTTTAAGTGCTGATCCTGCAGAGTTAATTATCTTTTGTTGTTGATCTAGTTGTTTTTGTTTTATGAATGCGGCAGCCGGACTTTGGAAACTATTTTGTAGATTCGAAACAAATGTTAATTCATCTAAATTAGCCATATCGAAACCAAGTGGATATAATAAACAATTAACACCACCCAATAACACAGCCACTACTACAAATAACTTGAGCTTCATTTTTGAACTTTAAATCTGAAATGACTAAAAGATTCTGAATTGTTCTATTTAATAGCTTCGTTAAAAAATTTTAATTAGATTTTCCAAAAAGTAACATTCAAGATTAGATAAAAAAATGTATTAATTATGTCTTTTAACAATTTATCGATAAGTATTTGTTAATATAGTGGTTTTAATTTGTTTTACTTTTTATCTTACAGGTGAGTTTGATATGCGAGTTAAATCGTGTGTTGCTTCAGATGGTTCCGGTCATATAATCAACCTCTCGGATGAATTTGGTTGTGTGCTTAGACCAAAAATGATATCACGTTTCTTGAAAGCACGTGCACCAGATGAGCGAGCAACTGTTATAACCTATGCATTTTTCCATGCGTTCAAATTCCCTGATGCTCTGAGTGTTCACATCAAATGTAAAGTCGAAATTTGTCGCCATGGCTGCCTTGATCATTGCCAACTAACTGGTAATGTAAACGAACGAAAAGACGTTTTAATAAATGATGCCATTAGCAATCAGAATGACTTGATACCAGAGGAAGCTACACATCAAATGGCTGCACCAGAAGGAGGTGCTAGTGATCATGATATATTTTATGATGACATCATACATAATCGCAAGCAACTCTCTTCTATAAACAGTGGTATTGCAAATATACTTGATCAATTTAATGTGCATGAGAAAAATGCAAATTTGCAACCACGCCCAGTCCATGAGGACACTGAAGAAGCTGACTTAGATACACTATTTGGCGATGATGAACTTGCTGATTTGGATGAAGCTCAATATATGGAATTGAAAAAGAGTGGCAAATTCCCACATGGTCCCAGATTTTTCGAAGCACAAAAACGCATAGGAGTACCGATGGCTGGACCACGTTCACTCGAACCCAAGTCCGAAGATGATATACCTCGACCAATATATCAACCAGAAACAACAGAGTTTAAACACTTACCAGAAGAACTTATAAATGAAAACAAACTAAACAAAACAAATAAAATAGCAGAAAGCCAGCAACATGTCCAGCAAACAAGGCGTCGTAGATCAGTAATTATTTCGGACAGAAAAGCACGTAGCGCTGATGTTGGTGTGAGTGGTCTATATGATGTTATATCTGAAGCTGATCTTGCATTTTCGCCAGATTCAAAACAAGAAGCAGTTACAGTATTTCAAGGCAAAATAAGTGAAGAAGTAGTGTATGGAATTTGTATGCCCGTACCTGGATTCAGCATTCTTTTTATAGTTGTTATATCAGCTACGATAGTCTCAGCCTTGATTGCTGGCTCATTGTTGTATCGCTACCAATTACAAAAGGAAGCGTTAGAAAAGCAAACGCCAATTCCTGTCCCTGGTACATTTGCGTCATGGATGACTTTGCGACTTTTCCGCATGCGACATATGCAAAACCAACAAAACCAACAACAACAGGAACAACAGAGACAGCAGGCATTGCCACACGAGACGGTGCAATAACTATCTATATCTCATAAAATATCGAATACAAAGAAATTATGACTCAAAATTGTTGACTGATACAAATTTTTTTAATATTAAAACTCCCACACTTTTTATGAGCTATTTTTTTAATTGGGTGTAATGAGCGCGTTACATACTACAACTCTCGGTGCTTTAATTGGGGTGCGTTTAATTCTAATTACAGAAAAGGACTTCATAAGAGGTTTTAAAACTGTTAGAGTTCACAGTTAGTCTTATTTTTACTTTTAAGCTTCGCTAAATCAAATTAGGTTCAAATAATATTTATGAGAAAAAATATTTTCAATAAAGAACAAATATTTTTAATGGGTTTAAAAATGTATATTGACATATATTGCAAATTACTACCTATAAGTCAGATATTTATTAAACTTTTAAACTAGCATAAATTCTAATTTATTACTTTAACAATAAATGAAATTAAATAAGTTACAAAAGTCGTTTTTACTTTACTTAATGGATATTTTTAAATTTAGAGATATTTATATTAATATGTATTTATATTCAGAATATATAGAATTTACGAACCATCAGTATCCGTTCAACAGAACTTTAACGGTATAAGAAATATATTGCACAATAAATGATTTTCCTCTTCCCAGAATACATCTGTTGCAATATTTCGCAATCTAAAATATACTCGGACCATAAAATTATTCGAAATAAACATGATGGCACCAATAGCCCACCAAAAAATAATATCGTTAAAGATGAAATTACAATATGGTGCAACAATATACAATAAAAAGTGGACATAATCTCTTAACTCGTAGGGAATCATATTATTAATTCTTTTAATTCTCCTTGCGAAACATTATATATAATTATATATAAGGGGCATTGTGACGATTCTCGGTAAAGTGATAAACTTGTTGATGCTTTACTAAATACCAAAAAAAATTATCAGCCCAAATAATTCTTAAACTCGGTAAGTTTTTGTAATTTTACAAAAACAAATATACATAAAATTTTATTACTTTACCGATATACTAAGTATATTTAAATAATCTATTATTGAATTTGAATTTTTGGTCGAGTATTTTATAATTTCTCATAATTTACTTGTATTTCCAAGTTCTTTGTGTCTCTCGTTATTGCACATGTGATTATATCAGTGATAAGTCGGCGTAGATGTAAGTTGAGTTTATAACATAAATATATTTCGTAATAAACCTGATGGTAATTCTATAATTTGTTTACCCGAATACCACAATAATAAATAATGAAAAACCAGTAATACTTTTGTGTGAAATTTCTTTGTTATGGTTAATTTGACTGTTTAGATAAAAGTAATGTTCAATATTATATTATGTTTTATAAGTATGTTATTTTTTATTTAAATATTATATATATATCAAAAAAATTTTTGAAATCTATAAGCAAAAGAATTTAAATTATGTTATAAAAACTGCTTTACAAAGGACAATGTGTTTGTTTATGCTTATGATCTTTGCCAACGTCTTACAATAATTCATCTTAAATAATTCATTTCACTATTTCAGAAATAATTTTGAATTTTTCAAATTAAATTTCACCTTAATGATTTATTTTTAATTGAAAAATGTTGAATAACTAGTCTCACCATTTTGAATTTGTGGCAAACATGTAAAGTATACTATATTTTTACAACTAATATTTTAATTTTATAAGAACAATTAAAAAAGAAAGAAATAATAAAAAAACAATAATTTAGTATATACATCAATTCCATAAGGTAAATATATGTTTGCTAATACATTATTTAATTGATCAGTTAATTTATGTAAGCAAACAAGTTTGCATTATTTGTTATTATAAACAAAACACAATACAATATTTACAAAAAACCTATAAAGCAAGAGTACTTCTGGAGTAAATTTGGATTTATATCAAAAAACAAAAACATCACATTTTATTGTGAATTACAACTAGGAAGAAGTAGCAGCGACTGTAAACTTTTTTATTTTGACAAGTATTTTCGCCTGTTTGTTTACGTATGGAAAAGCGGCGGCATATTAAATGTAAATCTGAGAAAGTTAAATATAATTTTATTGAGAAATATATAAGTATTTATATGTATTTCTAATTTGGTTGAAGTTCGAAATGGATTACTATTATGAAGACTACAATTATGATAACAACTACATAGATTATGATGACGAAGACGTGGAGCTTTTTCCTTGGACATTTCAAACAACATTAAGCGAATGTATTATACCATCTGGAAAGCAAATTTTAAGCTATATCGGCACACTAATCGGTTGTTGCTTGGTTTTTCGTTTTGTGTGTTCAATTGCCAAGCACCAACAACGCTATAAAGTGATGCATATGGTGTCGTTAATAACTGGATTTGTTGCTTTGTTCTTCACACTAGGTTTTCAGTGCTTAATCGTCGTATTTTTGTGTCTAATTTCATACACCACAATGCTTATTGGTCAATATTTCAATTGGCGCTCATATGGTCTCAAATTGACAATTACAACTATTGCAAGTCATATTCTTTTTGAACTGCTGTGGAACAAGACAGATGAGTGGCAACGAATTCGAGGTCTGCAAATGATTTCTGCAATGAAAATAATCTCGCTGGCATTTGACTTAAAGCAGAATGATAAAAATGAGGAAAATATATCTTCTATACCAGGGTTAATACCTTTCTTTGGATATATCTTCAATCCAGCAACAAGTGCACTAGGTCCTTGGATATCATACAGTGCATATTTACGCAGCATACAATTTGTACATAAGGGTTATCGTTGGCTCTATTGGACTGTCTTAAATGCCGTACTGGCCATAGCTTTTTTAAGTCTGTCTGACTGTTTGGTACCAATTACTTTGTCGCATAGTTCATGGAAATGGATGCTTACATATAGAGATGCGTTATCAGTACGTTGCAGTCAATATTTCATATGTTTTCTTTCCCAAGCCACTGTAGCTGCTGCTGGCATTGTACCGTATAACGATGGAAGACCAAATAGTGCTTTAGGTTACTTAGTATGCAAACCATGGGAAATCGAATTTCCACGATCACTTACATCTGTAGTAAGAAGCTGGAACCTGCCAATGCATAAATGGCTGAAAATCTACATGTTTCGTCCGATGCATAATCGCTATAAAAATTATTTAATAGCAATAATATTTACATATATTGCATCATCGTTACTGCATGGCGTCCACTTGAAGATTTATTACGTGCTGTTTTCACTTGGATTTTTTGCAATTACGGAAAATATGTTAAGATTAAAATTGGCAACAATATTTAACGCGTGTGTCGCCGCCAATCCATGCCAGAAACCTTGTAAGTATAGGAATTGCTATAGCTACGGCTGGAATAGCAACACCCTCATTGTGGCTGTAATTAATGTGATATTTAGTATCTTAACCACTGTACACCTGGCTTATCTTGGCGTTATGATGAGCGAAACAAACTTGGAACAACGAGACAATCATTTCACTAATTTGTTGACGAAATGGCACAATTTATACTTTTTCAGTCACTGGTTTTATTTCGCCAATTTGTTATTTTATTATATTATATAGTTGATATCTATCCAAATGATCTGAAGTTGTGTTATAGTATTACAGTATTATATTTTGTATTATCATTTTATAGTGCACTATAAAAAAAAAATTGTGTGTGCTTAAAAAATATATGTACTTAAAATTAAAAAAATAACTTTTATTTATAAGACTTGATTATATTCACTGAATATATTGCTTTTCTAATCTGTATAGCAGTGCATGTCTAACGTTATAAAAAATTGATTCAGCATACACTTCAATTCAATACACGTTATACTAAAGGCCTCTTGAGCTCAAATAATGGCCTGCAGTGATATTACGGATTAGCATTTTTCATATATAGACCAGAATTACCGTATTGGTTTGCGTACAATCAACGCTGAAAGGTACCACTCCCTCGTTTAAACGAATGATCCTAATCCCTGATTTTACAGAATGACTCTGTCAGGTCGGCAAGTAAACGACCCCCAAAGATTTTTAATATACTAATAGTCAAAAACAGAAATTGACAAAGAAAGCGGAACATCGATTTGTCCTACTCTTCAGAGGCACGACCACGACAAAAGTCATTTAAGGATAGGTCTAGTCCAACAGCAAGTCGTCTTAGTACACGGTCATCTTATTAATGGAAGGAGCATCCTGTTTAGTTCAAGCGGTTGATCGCTACGTTTCCTGTCTACAATTTGAAACAAATAAATCTAGAGATCTGACATGAATTTATATTTGCCCAGGTTTTTTGGATATACTTAGATATTTTTGTTCAATTTGTCAGCTTAAATGTTTCAATATCCGAAAAAAAAATTTCAGAAAGCACAGTACCTGGCAATGTAAACTTGTCGACCTTGCAGCTACCCGAGACGTCCCTATATCTAGGTATCCATGTGATTTGGACGCTGACATGCTCAGTTCGAGAACGCTCAACACTCTTAAATTATAACGCTTACGTTCTAATGCTTACCATAGATTTGATGGCAGCTTGGCTATCCGAGAAGATTACCGTAGTTACATTGGGGATCTTGTGCCACATGATCCATTTTGCTGCGTATTGAATCGCAATTACTTCTGTCTGAAAGACACTGCGATGGTGAGGGTATCGAAGCGATTAGATTAGCATTAGACCGAAATATAGGAAAATGCGCCACTGCCAACTTTTCATCTAAATTCGTCTTCGCTGCGTTTGCTAGTTATATTCTGTGAAGGGCCATTAACTCATTCACATTTTTCAAAATCATGTGAACAGTAAAAATTGTGCTTTATTTATGTTTCTAAAGTCACATGGTATAATAAATATACTTGTTTTCAGGAAAATAATGTAATATCGGAAGACAATTTATAATACGCGTAGTAAAATAATTAAAAAAAAATAATATGGTTTTCGTTTTAATATATTCTGAAACTCAAATAACTCTCTAACTTAAAAAAATTTTATAATATATTAATAAATTGAAACCTCTTACTGTATTCTAACAATGCATAAAATTGTATGAAAGACCCTGTTTTTCTGAAATGCAATCAGCTGTTTCTTGAAAATTGTTTTCTTGTTGACTTGAAACATAAAAAGTTGAAAATGAGGAGAATTCACTTAATTTCTTTGTTGTCGTTTATATTAATAAATCAGGCTACTAATGCAATACAGGCGAGAAGTGATAAGGATATACAGGCACAAAGCATAGTTCCACATCCGCTACAGCCTTCGCTAACTTCTGCACCATCAGACTTTAATCCACTTGGTCCTAAAGTGATGTGTTCATTCTTATCACGGGACTTCATTGAATGCAAAGATCCAATAGATCATCATAATAATAAGACAGCAAAAGCAGAAAAAGGCTATGGCTGTCTACGTTTCGGCGGTTCCACATATGAAGAAGTTGAGCACACGAAAGTGCAATGTACTGTTTTCCAAGATATTGATTGCTATGGTCCTCGAACATTTTACCGTGATGGTGTACCATGTATACGCTACTCGGATCATTACTTTGTGACTACACTAATATATAGTATTCTTTTGGGATTTCTGGGCATGGATAGATTTTGTCTTGGACAAACAGGCACTGCGGTCGGTAAGCTTCTAACCGTTGGTGGCCTAGGAGTTTGGTGGATTATAGATATAATATTGCTTATAACAAACAATCTTTTGCCGGAAGATGGTAGCAATTGGAATCCATACGTATAAGTTTTTCTTTATATATGTATATGTATATATTTTTAAGTTTTGTGATACTAGAAAATAAAGTCTTAATGTTAATAAATTTATTATACTAATTTATATCATTTTTATTTGCAGCTAAAACAAAATATATGAATGATTTGATATACAATATTTTTAATATGATTTAATAATTAAATTTTATTTAGGCAAGCCCGCAGATATTGAGTCTTCAATTCCGCAATGGTTTCGTCCCCGCAATATTTTGAAATAGCCATTATTGCCCCAGTCAGTATTCCATGAATTAGCTATTAGCCAATAAGGTATACTATTTTCTACTCCCCAACCCAAAATACGGATAGCGTGACCTCCTAGGGCTTTGCCGTGCACATGTTGATAAACACCTTCTTTGTACAAAATCAAATCTTCATAGACTGTAAAAGCGCCCTCGACTGGACCATTTGTTTGGATTTCTTTCTGAATCATGTGCACATTATTTTCAATGGAATACGCCTTTGAACCAAAGTGCTTATCGTTTTCATAAGCTACATTATAACTTCCTTGACATTTATGTTGGCAACGAGGTGTATTGCCATGTTCCCCATCACAAGCTGGACGAGATCCATTCACATGATGTTCGCATGGAGCAATTTCATAAGGACGACAACCCTATAATATAAGATTGATTTTTTATTTTTTGTTACTTATATTAGTGTTATATACAAACCTGATCGGAACCATAAGGACCACCACTGACTATACCCTATTAAAATCACCTAATTATAACATTTTTTTTACAAAATGAAAAATTCTATACCTTGCGAGTCCAATAACTCCAAGCAGCACCTGGAAATCCTCCATTACAACCAAAACCACAAGTATGACAACAGGAAACTAAATCATCAGCAGAGAAATGGAAATTTATTGTTCCATTCGAATGTATACACACCTAAATAAAGATTTTTATTTATTTAATAATTAGCATTAAATAAGTTCAAATTATTTCGTTCAAAGTGAAAACAAAAACTTGATTGCATGACTCAAGCAAAAACAAAACTTACGCGTTACACTCAATTATTATCAATAACAATTATCAGTCATTTTCGCCTTTGTTTAATTTTTGTTTTTATAATACAATCACATTTTTCGTTAATCTAGTATTGGTGTAGTCTAGAATCGTGCATCTGATACTTACACGGTCGGACATTGCTTCAACTGCACCAAATGCCCAGCATGAACCGCATGAACCTTGGTCGCGTATTTCAGAAATCGTTGGGCAATTTGGCCAGGCCTTTCGTGCGTCAAAGTCCGTAGGTACATCGTCTTCTCCAGATGCAGCGTATAGTTCTTCCATTACATGTTTCTTATCAGGTAATGCAAATTTATGCGCATCAGGGTGAACTCCCATCAAGCGATGAATGTGAGCCTCGGGTATTGACTCGTGAAAATTGCGTCCAACCTTTTGAAACGATTTCAATCATATAAATACTTTGGAAATCCAGTTAAGTACTCACCGTCCAAGTTTTAGCTTTACTGCGCACAATTTCCATAAAATCATCCGATAGTAATGGAGGATCACTATCTGCGTTCACAGCAAATAATGCACAAAAAATGCATAAAGCAAAAATATATTCTTTCATTTTTAATCACTTTGTATAATATATGCGTATTTAAATATAATTTGAAGTCGACAAACCAACTAAATCGCAAACTCACTGCAATGAATCAACAAAGTTCTCCTACTAAAAATCGTTAAGGTTGCTGAAATATATTTTCTAGCGGCAGAGCGCATATATTCATACTCTACCAGTTTGATGCCGTGCTAGCACATTCAAGCATTGTTTGACAACTTCGCAGTCAAAGATTATGACTAGAAACGAAAATGAGACTTAAGAACTCTCATTATTAAAAAAAATTGGTATTTAACACATACAACATCGTAGATATATTCAAATATTTGTTACAAAACAAATTCGTTATTCGTTGCTGGTGAATAAAGTACCATGCTGTGAAACAGTCAAATAATGTCGAAAAACTGACAAAAAGATGTTAATTGCGTTAATTTATATTTCTAACTTCTTATATGCCTATGTCGATAAAAATCAAAGTTCATTTACACAACACAAGTAATTATAATTTTGGTTATAATTTCGCTCGTTTGGAATTACGATGAAATTGCAGGATGTACAAAATCAAAGTAAAACCAAATTCATATATGTACCAATATTGTAAATAACTCACATGTACTAAAGTAAAACAAAATTATGACCTAAAATTACACCAAAATTACAAAAACAAATATTATGTTCTGCTGGATTCACATGAAATTTTGTTTCTAATTTTAGCTGCCATGTTTGTAATTTCAGCTGTCAATTGTTGTTGCTTTCAACCTATTTTTATATCAATTTTCATATCAAACAGTTAATTAGGTGTCCTATTAAAGTCCTGTAATGAAATCAAACAACATTCTGTACTGTTTTGTGGAAAGCATTATTGCCCATACTCTTGTAATACTTAATATGAAATAAATTAAAGGGATAACTGTTCACACAACGCACAAACTTCAAGTAAATTAATGGTGGACAGTTTAATTAATGTGTGAATAGGTTAGCAACAGTTCCTGTACAAGGCTTGACAGCTGATGACGCTTCACTGTGGAAGAGCCGCTTCAGAATTAAGTTTTACTGCGAATATTTTCTGCTTCTTCAATGGCCTTACACTTACATCTTTGATTATTGTGAATTTCATTACTCACTGAACAATCGCTGAAAAATGTTTGTAGTTAACATATTGTAATTTGCAATTGAAAATATTGTTAATATAACTCAATAAAGATTTATTTGCAAAGTTAGTTCTTCGATATTTATACAGTATAACGTTTTTTCGGGCAGAATTGTTAACTGAAAATGTCGTCAAGAAATTTAACAGAAGTTTTTGTAATTATGCGCAACAATGCATCAAAAAACCGAAATCTGTACACAGATGAAAGAGTATGCAAATAATTTGTTCTTAACATAGTCAAGAGCTTTAATTTGATTTCTTTATATAAACTACAGTTCATGCATGAATTCTTATATATATTATATCTGTGTTGTTCATTGTAGAGCTGTGTTGCTTTCTTCTCTTTAAATCACTATCTATTTTTAATATAATTTTAAATAGCGGGACAGTGATGCTGAACGTCTATTAAAGCACTCAATTAGAGAAGCGGAGGAAGGCTTAGAGCTGCGAGATGATTATGGATCGCCTCCAGTGTGGCTCGACAAATTTGAAGAAGCCCAATATACGATGTCCAAGTATGTTAACTATTGTTTCATGAAAATCATTTTTTACAAATCGTTAATTTTCTTTCATTACTTTCATTAGAATAAAGCCGAAGTTGGACGAATTAGGCTCACTGCATGCAAGACATTTGTTGCGCCCAACATTTGATGAAAATAGTGAAGAGGAGCATGATATTGAACAACTTAGTCAAGAAATATCCAAGCTTATAACTTCCACACATCGTCACATTCAGTGTATACGTTCCAGTCTAGAAATCGGTAGCAAAATAGAGCAAAGACTTACTGCAAATGTGATAACGTGTTTGCTATTGGAGTTACAAGAGTTGACAAATAAATTTAGGAACAGCCAAAATACTTATGTGCGACAGCTTACATCCCGTGAGGAGCGTTCACAGAAGTATTTTGAATCGAATGATTTTACTAACGTCGACTTGCGATCAAATGCAACAGAACGCGATAATTATGTGGAAACATTTGACAATTTTTTGCAGCCGACATCATCTAAATCTTCTACTACGGCTTATCTCTATGATAATGAATCAGATCAACAAATTGATGAACACTTCCAAAGACCAGTCTCTAGTCGTATGACCCAACAACAGTTGCTATTATTTGAGGAAGATAACACTCGTATGGCATTACATCGCGAAGAAGAAGTATCCAAAATTGTTAAATCTATATATGATCTTAACGACATATTCAAAGATCTGGGTCAAATGGTCCATGAACAAGGTACTGTGTTAGATCGCATTGATTATAACGTTGAGCAAACTCAAACAAGGGTCTCGGAGGGATTAAAACAGTTACACCGTGCAGAAATGTATCAGCGTAAAAACCGAAAAATGTGTGTCATATTTGTGCTGGCTGCAATTACTTTATTCTTGTTGTTGTTATTAATTTTCACGAAACTGTAAACAAATATTCTTTGTATTTGTTATATTTATTTATATATATATATATAATAGAAAGTTATAAACATAAATGTAAATCTGCAAGTGTTGTTAATGGTTATCACATCCTTTCCGACAGCCTGCTGGCTACAGATCTTAAGTTGCCATACACTTTGTTAGGTGGCGAGCCCAAAATTAAATTACATATCGCTCTGCGCGCTAGTTGGATGTTTTGATAGCTGCCAAGTATGTGAATCTTACTGTCGGCTAGAACTATGCGGGTTTTTGTAACATTTTCGATCGTGAATTTTGTCCGACCACCCTTTCCAGCCAAACGACCTATTGCGCGGCTCATGTGATCTCCTCGCAGTGTTTTAACGTCTTTAATTTCGAAAGTTTCTATAAATAAGTCCTCCAAACGCAGAAGTGCTAAAGCATCATCTATGTCAAAGCCGCAAAGGAACGCTTTGACAAAATCCGCTCCCTTTTGTAAGTTTGATATATCTGGTGTCTCAGGACTGACGCGAATTTCAACCTATGGTGCATAATAATATATATATGCATAAGTGTATCAGGTTTATTTCTATATAAATACCTGTCTAGCTCTCATATTAAAACGTATTTGCAATTTCATATTCTCTACAATTGGTGTAAATATTTTCATCCAATTCTCCTTTAAAGACGAATATCTAAACAATATAAATGAATATGGATGATATATAAAAACATATAAAAATATTATTTTACCTATGTGGAGGCACTGAAAGTTTTCTTGTTTCACTTCTCTGGCGTTTGGGTTTCGGTCCTTGTGTTGACTTTTGAGAGCATTCCTCGTTGACAAGTAGTTCATCAATTTGCATTTCTTCATCGTTGGCTAACCGCTTCTTTCCTTTTTTAACTGGCAGAAACTTATCAATTTGTATATTTTCGATTTCCATTTTTCACTTTAACCACTTTAGAATAATAGCAAATATAATAAATAAAATCAAAGGCTATTTATACACATGTGCTTTCAGAAATTTCTCTAAACAAAAGAAACTGTAAATAACAAAATGTCAAGTTTATCCGTCACTAAACAGGGTTGTTAAAAGTATGTGGAGACTGAGTATTGTGTTTTCTACATATTGAATTTTATCTGTTGAGTAATTGTTTCAATGTAATTTTTTTTTGTCTAGTTTTATTATTAATACCAAACATTATTAAAAAAATTTATAAAATTAGAATAGTATTTCGTGAATATAAGGGAAACAACAAACGCGGCGTTAAACAATATTGTTGTCAGTGTGTTCTGAATTGCAAACTGTATCTGAACTTCATAATCTGGTAGTATGTATTGTATGTGCTGAATGTGTTAAATTATTCTTAAATTAGATTAGTAATAAAAAACATTAGTAATAAAAAACATTAGTAATATTAAAGAAAACACTAATATAATGGAAAAGGAAGAATTAGATATTTTAAAATCAAAAGATCCGGAAAGAGTTAAGGCAGTGTTGGACGAATTTAATTCCAAGGTAATGTCATTCCTCGTATAAGAAATTCTTTGATATACAGTGAAATTATTTACAGAATGCAAACCTATTCAACTTTGAAAAGTTTCATACAGATGGGCAATGGTTGACGTTGTGGCGCATAGTTTTTGAATTGCTTACTGATGATCAATTACAAACCTTGCATCCACTTTGTCTAAATACAGTACGCATCCTCACCAGAGATGAGTTTGCTCTGCAAACAAACGACATTAAATCGGATTTCTGTCTGCTATTGGAATTAGCGCGTTTGACGCTTGGCAGTGTCATTGTATCAGAAGTGAAGCAGGAGACAGAAAATACTGATTCAGTAGCATCTCTTGCAGTCGGCAACGCTGACGAGGACACCGAAACAGTTGTCGAAGCATTGAAATGCTTGTGTAATTTGGTATTCCAAAGTCATGACTGCAGAAAGCAGTGTGTTAGGAATCGAACAGTGGACTTTATAATGAAACGTGTTACTTCTACGACACAGTATAGTAATTCCATAGAATTCTATGATATGAACCTTTTGTTTCTTATCACAGCTTTGGAACTATCGACTAGGCCACGTGTACAAATCGACCTAAACGGCATCGTGTATCTTACGAAATGGCTGGATGACAAACTTGTTAACAAAGAGCTAACAGTAGAAGACCTTAAAATTTTGTGTGAGGTTTTGAAAGTCTTGTTTAACATAACGACCAATCCCGATAAAAGTCCAAATGAGAACGAAATACAAAGCCTACACTTAACTAGTGTGGTGCGGGAACTGATAATACGTTTTGGTGAGATAAAAAATGAACAAGAACGTGCCGTTGTATTTCATTGCATAAATTTGCTAACTAATATGTCTAGTGGTTCTCTAACTGAATTGGTGGTCAAATGTGAAACAACTGAATCATCTCTCAGTGCTCTAATATATGAAGATCGCAACGTTTTGGCACTCGATATCATACTGCGTTGTCTGCGCATTGTGTTGGAGGAAACCGAAAATACGGCTGCTTCGAATAAAATCATTCTGCCTGTACTGACAGTGCTTGTGAAATGTGCACGTTGTAATCCCGTAATGAGACATTATATTAGAACCGTAATTCTACCACCATTAAGGGACGTCTCCCAGCTTCCTGAAGTGGGTAAGGAATTGCGGAACTACCTTTGTCGCTTTCTAACTGTGCACGCAACAATGATACGCGATTTATCCGCTGAACTTCTTTTTATTTGCTGCAAGGAAAACGTTGGCCGTATGATCAAGTACACCGGATATGGTAACGCGGCTGGACTACTTGCGAGTCGGGGTCTACTTGATTGTCGGCGTGTGGAAAATGCTGAATATTCATCAGACAGTGAAGATAGTGACACTGAAGAGTATAAGCAAGCACAAAGTGACATTAATGTAATTATCGGACGTTACGAACCACCAAAGAAAAATCCATTGGAGGGTATGTCAGAAGAACAAAAAGAACACGAAGCTATGGAGTTAGCTAATTTAATAGAAAAACTGCATAACAGCGGAATTGTGAAGCCATGTCGTATTGGCGAAGATGGGAAACCACAGCCGATCGACCATATCCTACAACTTCAGGAAGAACTACCACAACAGCAATTAAACCAAAAACACAAATCGTAAGAAAATGAACCATAACGACCAATTCATATAAGAATCTTCCGTTAAAAAGAAATTTAACAAAAATTAATATACGTATTATTAGGTATTCGAACTTTTGCTCTGATTTAGCTCTGCTTATACAAACGATATAACCTTAGCTGTAAGCTTTAATTAAGAAAATGATTATTTCAGTACATATGCCAAGGCAGTGCAGCTTTTTATGGTATGTTTCAGTTATACAAAGGCATCAAATCGGTTGTTGGTGCCTGTATTGTGTCATCGTCTTTGGGTAAACTGTCTTAGTTTGCTTTTCACGCGAATGACTAAACTTTAACAGACGCTCGGTCATTGATGAGTACCAAATAAACCAGGCCCTGGCAGAAACAAAGTCATCAGTTTGTTTTATATGCTTAACACAATAATAAACGCGCATTACTTAGAATATAGTGATAATAAACTATATCTTTAAAAGTTTGTATCAAAATGGATTTACCCTCATTCGAAGAGTTTCATTCATAACATCGATTAGACTTTGTCGTCCCATTTGAGATTAGTTTGTTTTTACTTATACTCAAGTATTTGTATAATTTTGTCTAAACTATCATTATATTGTGGTGTTGTAGATAATGTAGTTCAACAATTCCCTAAAAGATCTGCTTTGTTAGCTTGCCTTGCGAACTTTGACATTCCAAGAGTGTTGTATGCCGTTTTTGGAATCAAAGTTATACTGTGTAAACCTGCAAGATACTAATGTACTATGCATAAAGCTACAAAACTATTTATAATTACAGACATTTAGATATATTATAATATTATAAGAATTAGGGACTCAGAGCTTATGTGGGAACAGACAAGTATGGCATTTCGGAGTTGCATTTGTATTTATTAAATTCTTTTTTAACGCATTAAGAGTAGAGCGTTTATTAATCGGTATAGTTTCTAAGTTTATTAAATAGAGGATTATTAACATTAAATATCTATATATGATCTTTTTATTATAAATACCATGTAAGAATATATATTTAACTTATATAATAAATTTTAGCATAATTTGCAAGTATTACAAAAAAATCATAAAATCTACTAAGTACTACGGTACTCTATTTGAAACTCGATGACGTTCTAAGAACAAACAAAATAAAAAGAAGAAAAAAATCTGTAATAAATTAAATTCAATATTAAATGTAATTTTTATTTATAAAACATAAAAAAAATATATAATCTGTTTAAAGAACTAGATTTTAATTTATAACCATTTTCTTCCAATAATATCAAAAATATATGGTCCCCAAGTAGTTATTGGCTAGAAGAAATGGAAAATTACTATCCAGTTATAAACTTACTACCGGTAAACTTTAGAAGCCTTTCGGTTTTGGTCGTATTGCCAAAAGTTTTGATCCGTTTTATTATATAACTTACTCCGTTCAACGTTAGTTGATTTTTCTAATTCGATTTCGCCGCTTTTAGTTCTATCCTCATTTCTGTGCTTGTTAATATTAATATGTTGGGCGGCAATGTGCATCATATTCAGTATATTTTTTTTTATAGACTTCTTTTTTATTTTCGGCTCAGTAGTCGGGTTTCCGAAAGAATTATACGGGTGGTCATTTTTGTGAAGTTCATTTACTTTATTCGGTAATTTCGTTGAAAATTTTTCAGTAGCTTGTGGTACTTCGTTGCATTCTCTATTAGCACACTTTGCATTCTTCTGCTCCTCTTCACAATATTTGAATAAATCTCTTTTATACTCTTCGACTTGATATTCTAATAAATCAACGCGTTTATATAAACATTTTGGATATTTTTTAGACTCTGCCAAGAGATCCGAAAAACAAGTTCGTAGAGGCTGAACATTGTTTTCTGTGCATGCGAAAGCCGGTGTACTCTGGTGCAGACGATCGTCTAGATGAGTGCAATCTTCCTGTTTACTTGTTGTTTCTGGCAGTGTATTATACTTATTGTCTTCCCATTCCTTTTCATATTTTTCAAAAGAATTGTGAACTTCCCGGCGATGTATTTTATTCTTCTTTATTTCAAATTTTGTTGCTGATTGATCCTTTGTAGCTGATTGTGAATCTTCCTTTTTTTTATCGTTAGATAGTGTAATTTGCTTGCTCTTAACTGGATTTTTTGTGGGTTGCTGCTCTTTGCCTAATTCACATTGGAGCTGCTCGCATTTCTTTGATATTTTATTTTGTATCAGCTCTTTTTCCTTATTCATCGCGTCCTGTTGATGTTGTTGTTGCCTCAGTTCACGCTTAATGGCAACAGCCTTCTCAGCTGATAAGATAACATCTATGGAATGGCGGGATTGTAGCTTCTTGCGATTGTTTTCTAATGATGAGCCATGGAGCTTTGAATTCGCATTACGTGAGTTTTCTTTGAATACATTGGGAGGTAAATAATCATTTGGAGGTTTAGATAATACTGACTTCTTCTTTGGTGATAAATTCATAGTAGTGGACGATGGTTTAGGATGTTTGGTCGGTTGACGCTTTGCTAGATCCACCTGAGGTTGTAAATGGCTATTAATATTGCTTTTGATCTTGATAGCACCATTACCGATATGGTCTGATTTTTTTGGTTTAGCAACGTCCTTTTCAGTATGACCATCTGTTGGGAACTGTTGAGAACTTTTTGTGTTCCTGTACAGCACTCCAGTTGGTTCTATATACTCTGTACTCTTTTTTACCTTATGTTCCCTGCTATAATAATTAAAATTAAACTTACGCCTTTATGATTATTTATTCATGTACCTTTGTTTTACATTACCACTCTTCGAACCGTATAAATTCTGTCGTAAATGATTGGGTTTTTCATGTTTATTTTGCACGATTTCATATAATTTTGATCGGTATTCTGGTACTGTTAGTCTTACGTCATCACGAACAGGGGGTACAATATCCATATTAAGAACCTGTTCCTCCGATTTGCTACGAAACCTATGATATAATTCAGATTGTTGTTCAGTAGGCAGGGATGCAAATAAAATAAAATATCTGAATTCTTATAGAGCTTATAATGAAAATTTTAGTCATTATAATCTGGGCACCTCAATTATGCTTAAAAAACGTACTTGGCACACTCCTAGTGTAAAATATATATAGTGTCACTTTCACTTATCGTTAGACAATTATTATTTATTTATAATTAACTGTGGGATAGAGGCAGGATTTTTTCGCCATTAATTCCACACTTTTTCAAACTAAAGCGATTAGGCTGACATGTTGACTAATTGCAAATCAAATTTAAAATAGAAACAGTATTGCCACTTTTATTGATAGATAAGCGGCCATTAAATCACTTCAGTCCCTCTCAATATCCGTCGTTCGGACATAGCAACGTTGAAAGGAATGAATAAACAGGCCTTGGTACTTCCCTGGATATATTATGGGATCTCCCGGTCTTTGTTCTTAAATATCGTTAAGAAGCACTTCTATTAGATCTATTAGAATAAGTGGAATACTCGTTATCCAAGATATCCACAGGAAATACTTTTTTTCCATTTTTTTTCCTCAACTCAGTAACAATGAGGGATATACGCATCATGTGTTGCTATTCAATCGACCTCACATTCATTCATTCCCATTCTGGGAATCTATTAAGAGGGACCGTCTGAATGCTGTAAGGTTTACTGTAGTCTTCTCTTGTCACCGCGAAGGCAACGAAAAAAAATTAAAGTTCAATTCTAATTTAGATAGACAAATTGCTTCAATTTTATAACCGAAACTTATTTTCTGAGAAAAAAGTATACATTTTACACAAAGGAGTGAGTTTTCTTTACCTTTCAACATAAGAATGATCAAGTGCTTGAGCTGCATTAAGACGATAAAATGGATCGAACACCAGTAGTTTTTTAACCATATCAATTCCGTCTTTGGAAGCACCGTATAACAATTCATCCAGTGAAGTTTTTCTATCAATTTTAAATTAAGCAAATACATAAAGAAACTAAAAATTATATAGGTTTTACTTTTCGGTTGATTGTTTATCCAGAAGCGAAGAACCAAATGCTACCCCAAGCGCGTTCTTTTCGAATTGCGTTATTTTTGGCAGGGCATTTATAATTTTTTCAATCTAATAAAAAATAAAAATAAAACAATGAAAGTTGAAGGGTTCCAATTATTTCGTTACCAACAACTACTATACCTGATTGACAGTGCTAGTGCCTTGAAATAACGGCTTACCACGTAGCATTTCTCCTAGAATACATCCTAAACTCCACATATCAATGCCCTTAGTGTATCTGTTTAGAAATCAAGAAGTCAATTAATGTGTTCACAATTTTATTCACAGAATCAGATGTACCTTTTACTTGCAACCAATATTTCAGGTGCCCTATACCATCTTGTAGCTACATAATCTGTTAGCAACGGTTGAAGATCTATTTCACTGGTATTACTTTCCTCTACGCCGCGATTCGCTTTAAAGGACACAGAACGGGCTAAACCAAAATCTGCCAATTTACATCTTCGAGAAACAAAGAAACAAATATTAATTAACATATACAATTAATAAACAGAAGGTAAAAACTTACCTGCACTTCGAGTCAATTAATACATTACTCGGTTTGAGATCCCTGTGTATGACATTTCCAGAATGTAAGTACTTCACGGCATTAAGTAGTTGGTACATAACATATCTCTTATGAACATCCTTGAGTATATGTCCTTTTTTAATTATGTTATGCAAATCACTCTCCATAAACTCAAATATCAGATAAATATCTAAATTATTCGAAGCTCTAAGCAAAACATATATGATTTTAATATCTTAGGTACTATCGAAGCTACTTGCATTTTGAACTTTTGTGGAACTTACTTATAGACATTGTGCAGACTAACAACGTTTGGATGACTTCGGAAAGCATTCAAAAAAATTATTTCACGGAAAGTGCGTTGTGCGTCAGTTTCATCACGAAATGCATCGAATATCTTCTTCACGGCTACTGTGCCATTGGTGCGCTTATCAACGGCTTTCCAAACAACACCGTAGGCTCCTTTACCCAAACGCTTTTTGTCGAAAAAAATTAATGTAAATTTAAAATCGAACAAAAGTATACAATTGAAAAGTTTAATGAGTGAGGAGGAGGAGAAGAAAAACATTGATTGATGTAAATTGAAATATTTCTTTATGGGTTTTCCGTTAAGGAAGTACCTGTTCACTTATATACCTACATTTGAGTCCCCACTGCTAAGTTAAAAAAACAGTAACTCGACTAGCTATTTCTTTTCAAATTTTAAAATATGAAATAATTAAACTTAGCGGATTCTAAATCATGTTCGTTTACTCATACCTAAACTACTACTACTACAATTAAATTAATAATTAAAAGTAATGACAATTTAATTAATATGTATATATTAAGTTTGATAATTGTCAAAATACCAAGAAATATTTGTACAGGATCTATATTTTCACTTTATTGTATCATATGGTAATACTTTATTGAGCGGATATTCATTGTCAGCCAAGGTTTGTCGGTTCAAGGGAGTGTCCGTTTAATAGGTGTTGAATTGGAATGAGGGACACAGTCGATTTTATAGACTTAGCAGAGTGGTTTTCTTCAACATGAATGGGTGTCATTTGGTAATACTTTTTAGAGCGGACATCAAGATATTGCTCATCTAAGAGAAATTAGTGACACAGTCGATTTTATAGATTTAGCAGATTGGTTTCCTTCTACATGAAAGGGGTAGCGGCACCTTCTCGAAAGAACGTTGTCTGCACATTAACATAGATATTAAATTATTCGCTGCTGATTTGTCATATCTGGCATATATATGGTGTCTTATCACAAGGGCGAGTATTCATACTTAAATGAGTTTTAGTGTACACTGCTTCTAATCCTACCTAACTTAATTAGGTAAGAGGATTATAGGATCAACAGTGGTGTCTATTCGAAAGTGGCGCCTGTCTTACAAGTTTCCGCGTTAAGCAGAGCAGTCTGTTAAAGAAGGGTGTCCTTTCAACAGAAGTATATTATATGGAGAGCATTTACTTTTTAAAGGTTGCTCAAAGTTTGTTTGCCTATTTCTAAAAATGACTGAATAAAGCTATTTAAACTAATAATGACAAGGTTTTTTTAGTTCTCAATTCAAATACGTACTTATACAATGTATATTACCCATAATAAACATAATTATACATATATATTTAAATAATTGTTCATATTGCACATACCTTTTTAAAATCAAAAATCTTCGATATATTATCATCAACTTCGCACATCTTATTCTTATCTTGTGAAGATTTTTGTTTATTCGCCATTGTGATTCTGGAATCTTTTTTTAATCTATATTTGAAATACAGACACTACATTATTAATATTATCTGTTATTATATTATTAATGTTATTAATGATATTTGTTAATCACGCAAGAATCAGTTGTTAAATATAATATTAATCTGAGACTAAAATTGAAATAGTTTTAAAAGTCCGTTAAGTTATTGGTAGCTTGAGTAACCAAATAAAAAACAAATTTTAAAAATTATTGTTAGATCGATGATAAGAGAACACAATGAAAATTAGATTTCAAGAAAAAACATATTATATGATATATGTATATGAAACATTTTAAATAATGACATTTCATGCATAGATTTCTTTTTGTATTCAATCAAAGTAATAAATAGATACAAAATAAACCAGTGCAAAATGTTTAAAATTCATGTGAAGCAGGGAACGACAATCCGCCCCATCGCTAAGCTATTACTAAGTGGGAGCTGTAGTAACTGATATACTCCAATTTACTTGCCTGAAAGCACTTTCAATTCAAATTACTCGCCGTTGCAAGGATAACGTGTGATACTTGCACGAAATGTTCAGCTTAAAAGTATGCAATGAATTCAATCACATGAACTTAAAAGTTTCTTGCACGATACAGAAAAGCAAAAATTTTGAAATTGTATATCAAAATTGTTGTTGTATTTATTCACTTTTGCTTTTAGCACACACACACGTACTCATATCGTCACAAAAAATTTCTTAAATGCTGATTTTGTGTTTGTAAACAATCGTTAGTTTTGTTGTAATCTCAATAAAATATTTAAAAGTAATTGTTTCAAAATTTTTAATTTGGAATAAACTAATTTTTAACATTAACGTCAAAGCAGGTAATTATGATTTTATTCCTTTTATGATTTTAATTAATATTGATAAGTTTATATGACAAACATTTCAAGCCAACGTAGTTTCAGTTTGTATATAATTTCAATGAAAAAAGTCATTTTGTTTCCTTGGGTGATATGATTTTATTTTTGTTTACGTTTGAATACTTTATGCCGGTTGACCTAGCAACAGTGACCTCCTCACGTACATTAGTATGTGGACAGTTTTTATTAACAAAGCAAAACAAACCATCGTTATTATGTTGCCTTAAATAAAAATAACCTGGAAATATGCTTCAGTATTTATACACACAAACAACTAGTCTCTAGTCCCAAGCCTCAAGTCACAATACATATATGGGTGGACTACGAGTGTTACTAGAGAGTGAATAAAGAAATTGAACAAATTTAAACTATTTTAAAATATTTTGTAGTCTTTACTACTATAATTGTTTTCTATTCTAACTGGGTAAAATAATTTTAAACTAATTTAACTTTATACCTCTGTTAATATTGAAAATATTTTTCCCATCTCTACCCATGTGGAATTTTCCATTCGTGGACTTGAGGGAAACCTCCTGAATATGTGACGACTAGGGAATACCCTGTATTTTTGGCATACACTTGTTGCTCAATGAAATGCGCTACTAGATGCGAAAAAAATATAATTTATATAATATACTCTTTAAGTAAATGTTGCAGGACGACGTTTATGTTATATTTAAGGTACAAAAAAATTGAAACTGTATCTTAAGGGTGCATTATATGTATATAACAAAGGCAGGAAAAAATTTACTGAATTATTTTGATATACACATATTAGAGTATTACGAAAATACACAGCGAGAAATATGTGCACATTTTATAAATAATATAAGTTTTACATTTTCATTCTGCGACTTTGTCACGAAGAAGAAGAACATTTAACTTTTACACAGCCGCTTCTAATATGAACGAAAAAGTCGAATTTGGGGACTTCTCAAAATATTTTGGGCTGGAATTGTTTATTTGTCTCTTTGACTATTGCAGTTTTTATCAGACAAGAGTACTAATAACTAAGGAAGTAGATGTCTACTTAAAAAGACACGCGGTAAATAAAACTATAATAAGTATATACTATGATAGCCATGCAGTACATTAAATCAATGATCTTATATTGAGATGAAAATTTGTTCAAAATTATCTGTTAGCTTTAAATGAAAACCCTCTTTAGGGTTCGCCTAATAGTGCCGTGAAAGTAACGATATTGAATGAAACTGCAATGAATCAGCTCTGGAGATAAAAAAAATATTAAATTTCTTCTAACTGTAGTCACAAGCAGAGTCTCTCAGTATGCCTCTCTTACTTACTTACTTATTGCAGTCCTATTCTCCCAGTGGAGCATAGGACCTCCACAATCCCTCTAACTACCTCTCGCAACTTTCTTATTAGTGTTGAAGAGCTGTGTCATTCATAAAACCAATACATTTTGATCAAATAAAAACACTTACCTCACTTCCACGTCATTGTGATCAAAACTTGATAGAAAAAATCCAAGATTTTACAACCAAGAGAGGATATATATAAGCTCGTTGGTTGCGTAATCCTGGCTTGAAACTGGAAAGTTGACTGTACAAGTAAAATATGTGTAAATGGGGAAGAGGAAAAAGCAATAGAACAGCTCTTTTCCCTAGTTCTAGCCAGATGTAGAGCGAACGTCTTAGACAATTACGTCCTCTGTTAAAGAATTACCCAGCGCTAATATTTATAAGATTCTCCGCTTTATTGTGCTCGCAAAATGCTTCCATAATTAACTAACATTTAAGATCAATTAGACAGTAACATAACCTAACTTAAGTAAGCAAGACTTTTAAGTAAAAGTTATTTAATTATTTACAATTATTTATGTATTTACATTTTTTAATAGTCTTATTGTTACAATAATTGAATATAAGTCATAATAATGTGTTAAATGTATTATAAATAATTTAGAAACATTTAAATAAGTTTCATTAAAGTTTTCTAAACAATAAAATTATGTTAAAGCATGAAGATTTGTTCTATGTACACAAACAAATATATGTTAATAATAAAAAATAAAATAAAACTATGGTATTAATATTAATTAATAAAATATTATTCAAACTTCTTTTTTCGAATTTATATGTATATTTTATATGCCATTTATTAGTGTTATTCATACTTATTTTTTTCGAATTTATATATATATTTTATAAGCCATTTATAAAGCATATCACATTTATTATTGATATATTTAATTGTGATTGTTTTTATTAATGTTTTATTAATTATACCTATTTAAAATCTTTATTTCTCAACAAAGATAATTTAAAAGTAACAGTTCATATTACATCAGCAAATAAAAGTGTTATACTGTTATACATCAAATATTGCAAATACTACATTTACTTTGTTGACCTTAACAATGTTTACTTTTACAAAATAATTCAAATAATGAAAGAAATTTATAAAAATATTATTTATGTAATATTACAAAATAAATAATATATTTGAATTGATAATTATTTTGGTTCAACAAAAAAATCTGTTATAATAGCCACAATTCTCTCCATACAAAAAGATGTGCTTCATGACAATTGATGAAAAGAAAGCAAGCAAAACAGAATCAGCAGTAAGTTTTTCCCTTCGGTTTCGCGGAGAGTGTATCTAAAAAATATTTCGGGAAACGGCGGTGTTAACAATGTCTTAAATTGTAGTGATTTAATTGTTAAAGAAATAGTTAGTTTATAGTGTATTATATAATGTAAAACACGCGATTGTACATAAAAGATTCGAATAAAAAGAAACAGCAAACCAACAAGCCCTTCACAAAAATTTTAGAAGTCATTTAAATAAATGGGCCAAAAATATCTATACTTATTAGAATTAGAGTGTGGATATGTCTATCCGACTATAAATTTAAATTTAAAACATGTTTAATTCAATTATTTAGTAAATACCAAAAAACTCAAGGTAATACACATAGCAAAACAATAACAAACAGTATAAACTAAGCGTAGTGCAATATACGTACGTATCTTGGTTGTGTATGTTTGATTGCATGTGAGCAAATGCTACGCAACTAATAGTATTGCAATTACATATGTACGTACGATTTGCATCACACCAACAATCAAAAGTTTTTCATTGATTATTTTAAAGACATTTAAGTAAGTTTGGAAAAATCGAATTAAGTAACAAAAGGATTAGTTGCATTGTTCGAGGCGAGGAAAAGTCTACTGACGACAGTATTTTAAATGCTAAATTCAAACTGAATTCAATTTTAAATTGTTAATGTGAATCTCATGACAAAACTTGAAGTAATAATTTTTTTATTGTGATTTAAATGTGCTAAATAATCATATATATTATTTGCAAACAAATTTATTTGTTCAGTAGGATCAAAACAAAAATGCTATCTCTTCAAACGGGCAATTTAGAATTAGCTTTAGCTATTTCCGCTGCTGGAAGAGAACAGCTGCGGTACATTTTGTGAAAGGATAAACGCAACGAAAGCAACATTTTCAGTTGGAGTTGAGTCATTCCCATTAAATGCTTTAAAAACCGATACATTCTGTGATTAGAAACAAGTTTTAGTTATTCAAAAAAAAAATATATATATATATATATGAATTTAATAAGTATACATTTCATGCTGCATAATAGATTTTAAAAGGCGATATAAACTACACAAAAACGAGACCTCCTTCGCATTTCTTCCTACATTACCAACAATTTCTTTACATAATATACGCGTTGTGCACATGGTTACATCCATTCAACACGGGTGTGTGTGAGTGTTTTCTAATTCAAGGCAATTCGATGACTTCACCTCTGACCAAAAGCTGTAACTCTCCCCACACACAATTCGACTTGGCTTGGCATGGCTTGGCTTGTACTCGTATCTTTTGGCTCTTAGTTTCATGCTGTGCTGTGTGCTGTGCTTTGCTGTGCACGTAAAGTGTATTTGAAAATTGTTTAAATTGCGGTTTATGCTTTAGTTATAAAGAATTAATTATAATTAGCAAACACTTGAGATCCAAACGCGTAAGAGACCATCTTTATTAATTGTTCCGATAGATATTATGAAAGAGTTAATCAATATGAGTTGTTGTTGCTGTTGTTCATGTTCTTGTCGTGGTCGTCGTCGTCGTCGTTGATGTTTTTAATAAAAGATTTATTATTTAACAGCGCAATGGCGTGAGTGTTTTGTTCTTTCGCGGTATAGAAATCATTAAAGGGCCATTGGCCGTTGAATGTATTTTAAAAATAAAAATAGGCCTATACTTTGCATTTTGTGGATATATGGAATATCAAGAGTCTATTTATAATTTGAGTATCAATTGATAATTCTTAGTTGCTGTGTTGAACGTACATAAAGGGTTCAATGAAGTGATAAAGTTTTGCTGCCGTCTTCTGTGATTATTATTATATATTTTAATGTAATGTTGTTTTTTAAACTTTGAACAGACTTTTTCTACAAGTTTTTTCTTGTGAAATTATTCTATATTAGTTTTGACTTCTTGTTTTTTTTTGGTGCTAATAGTTGGCACTTTATTATTTTTTTTTCTGTTATTTTAGTGCTGTTTCCTGGCATTTCGACATGTTTTTGTTAATGTGTATAATTCAGCATTGAGTGCGTGCTTAAGTGAACCGGATGAGTTTACTCCATTAATGATTTGAATTCAATATAAAATGGTAATATATATTAAGTGCAATAATAACAATGTAGAACTCAATTACTTTAAAGTTACACCATAAAAACATATCTGTCAATAAAGTGATAGCATCACAATCATACAAGTCGGCATCAGTGTCCGTATGGTGGTACCCCTAAGATCAAGTTTTCTCCCCATTGTTACAGACGTTAGAAGTCGAAAAACTGCTACTTAAACTGTGTAGTGCATTTTAGTAAAGAAGTGTAGTGACTTGAAAACAAAACACATGAAGCTGACCTGGAAATTATTCTTATTAGCAAAAACGGCATCTCTGTTACTGATGTGTTGTGTACGGTTTTGTATAGAGTTCTAAACTAATATAGAAAAAGATTTTATAAATAACCCAAAAAAGGTGATCATTATACTATTCTCCAGAAGGGACGAGCGGCGTATTAGGTCGTTGTCTATAAAACACAAAGCTGTTAAGTGCTTCGAGGAAATTCAATTGAATATTTTACGGAAACACTGATTTTGAGAAAGTAACTAATAAAAAAGGTACAGTAGAATTTGAAAACTAAATCCCAGTTTTCTATTGAGGGTTTATTATAGAATTCGCAGAATCGTTGTTTCTTATGCAGGTTTTGTTTGATGGAGCAAAGCGCAATAAAGTGCTGCCAAACACTTTAAGATTATACTTTAGTGTACTCTATCTACTATGGCGACTTAATTGCAAAACGATCAGGCTGCTCATTCACAAAGAAAAATATATGCAACTGTCATAGCAGTGTCACTAGTTATTGCAAACACTTAATATGATCTGTAACTTGGAACTTGGAAGTTTACTGTTTATATACAGTAAAAAAAAGTATTAACTAAGCTTTATAGTTTTAATGTTATTGAAAGACTTGATTGAAAACTTTTTTGAGTTGAATCTGTCGCTTTGAACATGACGCGTTATACTTGAACCTGACGCAGGTACTATACTTATATATCCTAAAACAGAACTGAAGTTCTTAGTTAGTCTTCTGTCTCTGCAGCATTTCATTAAAAGGTAGCAGTTTTGACTGTAGCCAAGTTTTACTCTATTATCAATATGCACGGGTGTTCTAACATTGAAACTTTATCTGTAGATTGGTTTTTGGTATCAGTAAATAATTCGAAATCCTCATTCCCAATCACGAAAAAATAAAAACAAAAATGAAATCTTTGTCTAAAATGCAAACCCAGTTAAGCAAATAATTTCGGTCATCCAAACTTACTGCAATGATAATGAGTTAAGGTATTTTTTGAAACTTAAGAACACATAAATTATACGGGGTTCGGCGGTAAAAGTCTTACCAACTACACACAGGTATATCTGTCAATGATAGCTGTTTATATAGTTAACAAGCTACCACAAGCATTTTCGTCTAATTTTTATAGAATAAAAGTTATTCGAAATGGAATTCAAACGAAATAGTGTAATTGCGTTACATTTGGCTGGAAAACAACAACCAGCTATTACTCGTGAGCTTAAACACCTCAAAGTGAATAAAATGTTTGAGTATCGTACCATAAATCATTATAATAGTACAGGCAGAGTGGCCAAAAAGTATGGTAACACCAAAGCAACAAAAAGTTAGACTCGAAAGAGCAAAGGAGTGGTTACGCTTGCTCGAACCACGAACGTGGTGAATTTCCAAACATTGTGTTTTCTGAAGAAAAAAATGTACCCATTGAACAGTTCATAAACTCTTAAATAAACTTTTTCTTCTTAAGTAATAGTATGGGCAGCTGTGACCGCCGATGGACGCTCTTCAGTCGTTTTCATTGGGCCTGCTGTCAAAGTCAATGCAATATATTATAGGGAAAATATTGTGGAAGTTGCACAAACCCAAACATTTCGTTCATAGACCATAGACGTTCCAACAAGACACCGCACCGTCTTATAAAGCTCGTGTGACCCAGGAATGGTTAAAAAAATCATGTTCCACACTTCATTTCGTTCACACAATAGCTTTTGAATTCGCCAGATAAAAATCCGATGTCCTATTCCACCTAGGCCATTTTGGAGAGCAAGGTGAGGACTAAAAAATATACCCGTATGAATGCATTGAAGAAAGCCATTGTTTAGGAATGAGGCAAAATATCGGTGACATTTGTGAAGCATGCAACTCATTTTATAACCGTTCGTTGCAAAAGGTGGTCACATAGAGCTAGAATGAATAGATTCTGAAATTTTCATTATTTTCACAAATTTTTGTAATTTGAATCAATAAAAAATAATTTTACACAAAAAAGACATGGTCGCTTGAATAGGTAACACTTCAATCGCCTAATCCTGTATTTAGTTTTATCATCGAAATGACAACTTTTACTTATATATTAATATATTCAAGGCTTATTTTTGTTTCAGGGTCTGGTACCAACATTAACAAGTAACAACTATGCACTATTTAGCATGCAAAGACTCTATGATACAAAATCATTCTAATTACCGAAGACGAACTTAGAACGTTACAACGAAAAACCAAAATATATATTGCGATTTTTAGTATATTTAGAAAAGTTTGTACATATAGAAAATTACCAATCATAGCTTTCAAGGGTCAGCTTGCAATGCTGCTCATAAGCGCCCTAGCCCTAGGACTTGTCGAAACAACAAACTCAAATATCGGCAGTCAACTGGGTGGTGGCGGTAGCAGCTTTGCAATAAATGACAACAGTGGTGGAAGTATTGTTGGCAATTCCGATTTTGTTGGCATAAACAGTGATGCTGTGATAGGCGCTATGCCCAGTAGTACTGGTGCTGGCACCCACATGAATAGTCTAGCTGGAGGCAGTATTGGTCAAGGTAGCGGTACTTCAATAGCACACACGACATCAACGGTTGTTGGTAGCAGTGCTGCTAGCGGCACAATAACTTGGGATAACAATGGAACTTTACGTTCTGCTAGTCCAGGTTAGTAAATAATAAATAATACACTTTGCAAATGTTTCTAAACAATTTATTTTGTATTCGCATAGGCGATTGGTCCATAGAGCAGTGTCTCAACTGGGAACGACCGCACCATTTGTACTTTCAACTAGGAAATGCATTTTTCTTTTTGGCATTCCTTGCCCCACACGGTCCTTTTGGAATGCTATGGCTGAGAGCATTAATGGTTATTGGATGTATACTAATGGGAATGTATGGGTATCTTATAGTGTGTACACCAGATATTGTGTTATGGTCAGGTCTGTTTCTTGCTGTCAATTTTATATACCTAATTGTAGTATTATGCCGCCTACGTCCTGTACGATTCGACAAAGAGATTGAGGCGGTAAGTTCAAAGAATATATTTACTTATGTAAAGACGCAATATAACAATATGTCTTTCTCATTATGTATTTTTATACATATTTAGTTCTTGTTATTTATGAATGTTAGGTATCTTGCATTAAATTTTGGCAATATAAGAATATTAAATAATAATAAATTTTTCTGTTTTTGACAATTATTATTAATGTATGTAATTTATTTTAATGGTCAAAGAAAAATAACTTTTAAATTAGCAACATCAGAGGCAGATACAGTATATGCTTAATGGGGGAGCTTTTTTAAAACTAATTTAATGCTGATATGAATTCATTTAATTAAAATCAATCCTTATATCTATGGTAGTTTGAATCCCAAAACTCTTTGCTATCGCCACTGAACTTTTATGGTAGTTTGAATCCCAAAATTCTTTGTTATCGCCAGTATTACAAAGATCAAAATAAAAAAAAAAGAATAACTTCGAAATTTTAATTCTACAAAGAATGAATAGATGGCGATCTAAAAACTTATGTTGTTGTAGTAACCCGCTGAGATCTAAGAGCAGATAACTTGAAAGGATTTAACAAAGAAATACATGGATTAGGATGTGGATAGGTGATGGTTGATTGTGATTAGGAGGAGGTTTAATTAGTGAATTAGGGTGGATTAGGCATGGATAGGGTTGAAATTAAAACTAACCCCAGTCCACATGGAATAATTTGACCACTTCAATGGGGTTAGTCCAAAAGTCGATTGGACGGAAGTCGATTGTTGTAGTATACATACATATAAATGAAATTTTGTATACTTATTTCTTGATGTACCAGAAACTATTAGCCGGATTTTATAATAGTATGGATAAAAAATAAAGTAGACAGGTAATATATGGCACCTGTAGGAGTCAGTGCTGTGGGAAAAAAGACAAAAATGCGTTTTTGAATACCTGAAATTTAGTCTTACTATAAAATATGCAGCAATAAATAATATAAGAATAATTAATAAACAACGTAATAAATTTGTAGAAAATATAAATACTAGGATATTAGAGTACGGAAATTGAGGCAAGTCGTGTTTGAGCAGCAAATTTTGTTGCGATACAAAACTTATGCCATTGACTTCAAATCTCATTCAGGTTTGGTCTTAAAAACGCTTTAAGCGAAGTCATCATGAGTAAAAATACTAATACTAATTAAAAACATAAATAAATCTTTCTAGACGTCTTTTGCTTCAATCATAATAATCGCAAAAAACACATAAGAAACATAGATGTTTCACTTTGCATTTCATAAAATTTCTAGTTATATTAATTCCTTAATCAATATCTCTTTTAGTGACGAATAATAACACCCAATGTGTTAGGCAACTTTTGAGACTCATTATGGTTGTATGGTTGTTGTAGTGGTAATAGTTTTAGTCTTGCAGTTGTTGCTGTTGTTGTTGTAACCCGCTGGGACCTGTTTGTGAAGTCCCTTTGAAAGATGTTGAACGGCAATGGCGGCTAATGGCTTCAAGACTTAGCCGTGTTGTTAGACAGTTCTTGAAGGATTTTCTTTGATTTGGTTTTCTTGTGAACGGTGAAGCTTTAACTGTAGTAGTATTTATTAGTGTTTGCTCATCGTACAGCAGTTACTTTGCGAAACCAAAGTTATTATAGAACCTATATTTGGATATATTTCTGTAAAATGTTATCTGAAACTTTAGAGGCTTAAAAAAGTTTAAAGACAAAGTTTTCTATAAATATATAATATTTTTCAATTTATTGTATATGTGTTTATTTCACATTTTTTACATAATGAGATTTTTGATTGCATTAAACTAATAATACATAATTAAGCAATAAACTTAACTAAAGAATATTTTGTAAGAATATTTCGTTTGACATTTCATTTTCAAAAAGACTGACCTAAATACTCGTAGAGTCTTACACTTTTACTTTCGCTTTCGTTTTTAAGACAAAAAAATAGGTTAGTACTTTTTTAGGTGGGTTTAGACACAAAACAAGTTGATAAATAAAATTAAAAAAAAAATTAAAATTAAAATTAAAATTAGTTTAATAATTTGTTATTCTAGATGAAAGTTTTTAATGAGATGATGTAAATTTAGCTAGGAATTGATTTGAAGTGTCTTAATTTCCTCTTCGTGTGTTTACAACAAAAGTTTTATCACAGATGATCTTTAATTGGTTTTTATTTTGTTTTTCTTTTATTTTTGTTATTAAATTTGAAAATAATTTTAAATTTTAAAGTTTCAAAAATGCATTTTTGTTATATGAAATGACTAAGAACTGAGAACTGAGAACTGAGAACTGAGAACCGCAGTCGCGATGAACTTATCGGACCAAAATGTAAATGCACAAGAAAATTGTTGAACTATGATTGTTATTTAAATAATTTACTTAAGCTAAAAATGTAGTTAATTTTTGGTATTTAGTTGTGATAAAATGTTTGTTTAAATGTTTTATAAATATTAATTCTGATTAACTTGAACTTATCTAAATAGTTTTAAATACGCATATTATCTACTAAAATCAATGTTGTAGCTTCTGTAATATTAGATGTTTCTGCAGCTTATAGTTAATGTTGCATATGTTATGGGAGTAGACATCTCTTAAATTCATTTGCTTTGCTTTGTCTTAACTGATTTGTATTTTCGAAGCTAGGAAATACAAATGTAGACATGTGTTTAGCAGTATGATCATATTACCAATGGCAATGGTCATGTGTATGCGACGGAATGCCTTGTGTATGCGCTGATAGTGCGGACATTGCACTAAATCTCCCTGCACCAAACTGCCTACTTCTTGTCCGCTGCCAATGGCACCCTCAATCTTGTATTTTTCAAGCATAAGACGCAACATTGGTGGCGCTAGGTATAGGCGCACCACTACTTCAATAGCAGCCGTTAGAGCTAAGGATGCCAACTGAACATAACCAGCTACGTTCCAATTGGAGAAGAATTTCACATGTATAATCAGCATGCCAATGCTGAGTACCGCATTCAATGCAAAATATTTTGGAAACAATATTTGCTGACACTGTCCAAATGTGTGACGCGGTAATGAAAAATAAAGCGATAAACCTAAAAATAAAAATATTCATTAATATTTTCCTTACGTCTCACGTGAGCATTTACTAAATTTGTCTGCAGTTATGTGTGTCGATTTTGACAATTTATGAGTATCTATCTATACTCGTTCACTTTATTATTATTGAAACTGATTGGCAACACAAGGTCTGCAGTGTCATTTTGTGTAAAAGCAATATTTTAAAAAGCAATAAATAAGTTTGGCTCTGATTCTTACCTGAGACAAAGGTCATCCATATTTGTGCACCAAAATGTGTTGCAAATGCGCCTAGATATGCAATAACTGCAAATGGCTTGCCATTCCTTTGAGAAGCTACTGATTCGGCAACAATGCCTTCCGCCGCGTCAGCAGTTGCGCCAATCGGTGTATTATCGAACAGATCGGGCCAAACTGTTAACAGTACGAAAGATAGTATGCATATAGCTATAAGGTGCGCTGGTTGTGTTGTTTGTGTAAGTAATCTGCAATGAAATAATAATACCCATAAATAAAATTGATTATTTTTACTAGATTAAGAGTATATGAAAAGCAAATATTCTTCGCACTTAATAAAAATCAATCATACAAATTGTTGTTTTTGCATTTGGCGATAGGTGCTGATAGATAGATACCCGTGAATGAACATGGATAGTTGGGCGAATAGATACAAGAACTTAAAGAAGCAGTTTGCAGACAATGCGTGCAGCCGTGTGCCAATATTATGCCCCATGGGCTGTCTGGTTTCCTTAAATTTCATGAATATTTATGCATTTTAAACCAATCATAAGGTGGCTTTGATTTGGCGTACGTGCGAAAACGCATGTAATTTTTTCATTAATAAAAATCAGTGCTGTCGCACGACTTGTATATGCATATAAATGCAAATTTTTATAAACAATACATTGAAAAAATGTCTCTGTAGCAATATACATTTTTTCATATTACTTCAGCGCTAAATTTGCATTAAATTTTAATTAAAATTAGACTAAAACTAACGCCACAAACCTAGCTCAGCGGTTGCTTAAATTGCAGGCGAAGAGTAGATTTTATGAGATACAAATTATTGTGGCTACCCCCACAGACCAACAATGTATCTGATCGAGAAAAATTTATTAGCAACAAATTTCTAATGATTTATACGTTATTTTTAACTTTTTTTTGGCACATCTAACTTAAGTCAGGTGCTTTTAAGTCACTTGACTGATAAAAATAACTTCGATCAAGATACAACGAACTCATTATTTCATTAAATTGATAAATTATTTTTCATAAATTAAATAAATTTTTTAATCCTTACGCGTGACTGTGGCTTCGACTGTATAAAATTTACTTACTTGCCTACTTATTAAGGGAAGGGCTCTTACAATAATTAATGGAAGGCATTAATAAGAATTAAAAGGTAACACTTATGGATTAAAACATTAAATGACGGCATTATTTCTGTCTAGCTTTGAAAACTTTTAAAAATTTATTCCAATAACAATTATCCAAGTTTTATGAAGCATTTTGATAGTTGATAGTATTGTTAATAATAATTATCGTAACTAAAGACCTATTCTCAGATTCATATTATTCAGGTATTAATTGACTTGTTGAAGATGAGAGAGAATTCCAGCGGCTGTTGATATTATATAGATTTTTGATTTCTAATTTTAGTTGTAAGATTCTAATAATAAAGACGTCAACAAGACTTTAATCCGCAAGAATCTCTAATCTCTATGAAGGAAGATAATTTTGCAGCCAATTTTATCTGTAGACTTAGTTTATGGTAAATGAAAAATTGACGTCAATGCGCTACGGAAAAATATTCAAAAAATATTTTCAATTTTTTCTATCCAATAGATAGTAATATATTGTTTTTAATTTGGTTATTTAATATTCTTATCTGGCAAACAAATAATAAGAGATTTCTATTTGGTTAAATAAATACAATCATTCTTAAATAAATAGATATTTTAATTTTTTTCTTATAATTATACAGTTAAGTTATCGAAAGATTTCTCCATTATAATCTATGAGTTTATAATATTTAATATAGAGTTCTAAAAATCAACATTAAAACATTGTACTTTCACAAAACCCTTCTTCTGTGTCGAAAATTTCAATTTAGAATAACTATCATAGAATAATACAATATTGTGATTATGTTAAATGCTTTTATTGTGATAATTTCTCTTTTGAACAAAAAATATGAAAATGACTGAGCTCGAGAAATCTGAAAAAGGACTGAAGTATGTAGATTCACAATATGACCTGTATATTTCCTAATTAGTTTATATAAATTCTGGAGAATATTCTTTGGTCTAAAAAATGAAAAAAAAAATAGTCCATTTTGAACAACAAAATAATCTGTCCGAATAAAAATTTCAGTTAAAAAACACTTATTATTTTAATAACGATTTTCCAAATTAATTATACAGACTGAAATATTAAAGATATATCTAAATTACCGCCAGTTCGTGACATTAAGACCAACGGTTCTGTAAAATATTATATGCATATATATTTTTTAGAGTATTTGCAAGTGATTTAAAGTGAAATATATAAAATTCATATTTTCATTTTTTACGATATTATTTTTTGTTAAAATATGGGTACTGGTCCTTGCAAGAAACAAGGTTTTTTTTTAAATGTTTTATTCATTCAAATAGTAATAACTAGCTGTTAATCCATTATATGTTTTTTAAACTAAATAGACCTTTAAACTAAATAGACCTAAATAGACCTTCGCAAGCCCCTGTAAATTACGAATTACATTTAAGCATATTAATACGAACAATTTAGGGATATGTCGCATTGCGAAACCTACATTAGTTAGATCATACATATACATTATACATACAAGCAAATATTATTCATCTTCAACGGGTACTACATGGTTCACATAGGTTAGGTGGTATAGAAAATGCAAACTGTTAGGGTTATTACGTGTTTGATTTGATTGGTTCTACTTAATTATTATATTTTGTAGTGGAATTTCCTCTATTCCACTACCTTTGCTCTTATAAATTTTCTAATATTATTTAAATTAATTTTTTACAATTAGTGAAATGTATAAACGTTTGTATTATTACGTATTATTAGACTATTAGACTATCACGACGTCTGGGCAATTGCACCTTGTACCACAGCTAATAATTTCCAAATGCGCATAATATAAATCTTAAGTACTTCGATTACTTGATTTGATTATTTGCAATTATCAGCGCAAAAAATTTCAATACTTTTGCGATAGTATATATTTGGGAAAATAGTGGTTCTATGAAAGATGTACTTACATGTAAATACGACTGTTTTGCAGTTCCTGAACTGTGCGACTCAAACGCTGTACAAATTGTTTGGTCAGTTGTGTGCCCCATGCTAAAGCATCCACGTAAACCTCGTTCTCAGCTTTCTCTTTTAATTGTTTTGGATTGCTGGCATGGACATCCTTTGTTGTGGCTGCTGCATCCTGTTGACTTGTCTGTTGTTTGTTTGCATTCTGCTGCAATTTCTTGAATCGTCCACACATTGCAGGTATTTTCAATGTGCCTTTGCTTTTGATATCTGATGAATTTGTTGTATTTGCGAAATGTTCCGCTTCTTTTTCATTTGTTAACTCTTTTGTTGCTAAGGTGTCATTTGTTGTATCAGATATTGCTGACGTTGTAATTGTTGCCGATTCTTCAGTTTCAAATTCTGACACAAAACTAGTCGAGTTTATATCACGTTTTTCCATTATTCTTTTTACGGTTTTCACAATTTTTTCTGGCATACCGTTTTCCACATATATTTCGATTTGTTTATTTTGAGTTCCAAAACTTTGACACATTTTTATTTGTTTATTTATTTTTTTTCTTCAAATTTTACAAATAATGTTAGCACTTTTTTTCGTTAGCATAAATGTAGAATGCTTCTATTTCAAAAATGACAATGCACAATTTAGTGGCCAAAAATCACTTGTTAGCACATCAATAATTTTGATTCCGAATTAAAATTTCTGCACAGCACAATCCGCTAACTCTGCTAACAAAGACCTTATCAGTTGCTCGACCGATACAAACTAATCACGAGACACTGTTCGACTCGACTTCACTCGACGAATTAAGAATACCTTTTGACTCGATATGCCCCCTGTTTTATATATTTGAACGATTTGTTTAGCAGCGCTCATGAACACTATTCTTTAACTCTTTCTCTCTCGCGCTCTCCATAGCTGCTTGCCTTGCTTTACTGGTTCAGGCGCCAATAATAAAATTATTACTCTTATCTCTGCAATATACGATATTTGCGTTCTTTTTCAAAATTGATTATAAAATTGCAATCGTTTTTTTTTATACTAGCCTAGCCTCGTCAGTGCTAACATGCTAGTGCTTAGTTAATGCTGACTGTATTCTGACGCTCACTGTAGGCACGGATATAGTACTCGAATAATTGCTGGCTATTAGATTATATTGAGCCTGTTAAACAATAAAGACAGGCATTATAAAGAGCGCAATTGATCGCATAAGAGCAGTAAACCAATAAAGTGATAATGCAGAGAGGAAAATGATTGAAGTTTACGTTGCTAAATTCAATATTCCATAGTACAATAGTTCAACCCAATATGGGCACTGCTAATGTGATCCTACTTCCAAAATTTTTTATTACTGCCACATGTCCGGCGCAGTTATTTTGCTATTTACTGATTTTACTGATTCCGATTCCAGCTTTCAATTGATTATAATGAGTCGCAAAATGATCTTTTGTCGTTGTTTTGTTGGTGATGTTTTTATTAAGTACCTAATTTATTGAGACAAATTAGGTAACATAATTTGCTTGCTACTTACGCATAAGTGAGTTAAGCTTGTATGCCTCAGAAATTAAAATACATATATTACTTTTTACAAGTCATCGTTGAATTCCATCAGATAAAGGAAAGCATTTCTATAAATGCTTAGACAAATGGAATTTAATCTTCATCAATATTGGCATATTAAATATTATAGTTTTTTTTATATATTATATTCTGATTTCATTATTAGATTTTTTTGGATTGTTTTTTAATTTGAAAATTATAATAATTAACTTATTCTCTGCAATTCATATTAGATAAATATGTATGGTATACGCTTATATCAGTTGTGAAAGAATATCGCTTTCACTACTTACTAACATGTAAGTCTATAAAGAATCAAATAAAAATATTGAAGTTATTGCTGTTAGTCTAACGCACTTTTTTTCACTGAGAAACCGAATAGGTCTTTAGAAAATAGATAAACCATTACAATCTGTAGAAGTAAGCAAATATACATATGTACTGGAAAGTTTAAAAGGTAGTTATATGAAATAAATTTGTGTTTTGCAATTTAATACAAATCGGGAAGATCAAACATATCTACTCAAGTTCACCTCTTTTAAATCTAGAAAAACACCTGCAATCTCATTAAGATGTACTGTAGAAATATTAATATTTTAATGGGTTTTCGCTGATGTGTCACTGTCAGTCACTGTCAGCAAACCATGCTAGAATATTAATTCTTTTTTGAATCAATAATATCTAAAACAACTGTGAAGAAGACAAGGACAGTGATTTGCATTAGTTCTGCTATATTTCAGCGCATACCCGAAGTATATTTAACATACTTAGAACTTAATTTCTAGAGAACCTTAATAAGCTAAAAGATCTTTCCTTAAAGAGCATTTTAAAAGTTTTACTAATTGTTTGAGATAGTTTTATATCCATCGAATTTTGAACGGTTAAACAACAGACCAAAAGTCTTAAGTGAAGTCTTTGGTTCGCCGTTATAATCTAAGTAAGCCGAAATAAAGCCAGTAAGCGAAGAGTTTCCAGGTTCTGATTATGAAGTCTATTTATTTCATAATAATATTGGTTATTTTGAAGTTTCTAAAATGAAAATACGTTAAGAAATGCAATAACCAAATATTTAATTCGAATTTGGATTATGTGAGGAATCGATATAAAAGATTACTCTGTTAACTCTGTACCTTTCACATCAATGAATAAGATTCATAACGATTAAGATTGAGGAAGTAATAAATTCCCTAAAAACGGTTTTCCTATTCATAATAATTATGCGCATATTTATTAAATTTAGTAGTTAATTTGGATATATTTTGATATATTTTAACGAAAATATTTTATATATAGTTTATAATACTTCCTGATATGTATTATTTTTAGGAACTTTAATAAGAGTATTTTGTATTTTATCTATATATTGTAAAAATATAATGTTAAATATATAGCTTAATTATATTTAATAAAAGTGTGTAGTCTTCGTTAAGTCAGAGACAAGCATTTCTGGAGAGTGGGTTTTTTAAGTGGGTTTTCTTAAAGCTTAATAGAGAGTTATTGAATTTATGTATGTCTATTTTATATGTAAAATCTTGTAGTTGGTAAAATTCTGGAGACTGTACTTTCCAGAAAATAAGAAGATTTAATATTAAATAGTGATGAAACATACTGACTGGATTTTACGTTTCGGTTAATGGAATTCATAAATGTTGCATTTGTCTTTAACAGAGCGGTAAGGTATTGAAATGTCTGAAGAGACCTAGAAGAGAATCTTAAACGATTGATAACATTTTAACTGAGCGAAACAAAAACACATTTTTTACAATGTTTTTGCGTATAAAATGCAATTCGCGAATTTCCCCCAACAAATCCGTTGTGGCTTTTACTTTTCAATTGTTCCGGGTAAATGTGAATTAAATTTGACAGTTTTTTACATATGTACAATCACAAATTCCGAAAATACCATTCGCATTCACCAAATCGTATTTACGTAACAATGAGTGAGTGATAAATAAACTTATCTGTTATGAATGAATATTTTGAACGCATATACACGAAGATTTTATAAAGATTTTACACCTACAAAAATCCGCTTTCTTGTGACTTTTTCTTAAAATAAATATTTTTCTACGAGTACGTATCTCTCTTCTACGTCACAGATCACACCTCTTTAATGATAAACTGCCAAAAAAAAAAAAAAATAAGACTAGAAAAAGCACATATTTAGTCATTGTCGCGAGTGAATGTATGTCGACTAATTGGGTTCATAGTCTCAAGTGTTCATAGCGTGTGATTCCAAAAAAAACCGTAAGGTTTCTGATGAAATTTCAAATATTTGAATTTTGTCATATTCACGTAATTTAGTAAATTATGTTGAAAATTAGAATGCCTCACGCGAGCGAATAAGCGATAACAACCGCGGCAAACGTCGAAAAAATATTCCATGAGTCAATGCCATAATTTATTATTTTATTTACTCTACAGTTGTTGTTGATCAGTTTTTAATTTTTTTCCACGTTAAAATCTTCCACGATGATAAGCGTTAATCAAACCGCTTCGACTGCAGACTGCAAAAATGGCGCCCAAACTTGTTAGCAAAAGCCATTAATCGAAATAGGCCAAAATATCGAAATTGTTATCAATTTCAAGTTGTATTTTTCCCACCAATTATTTGATAACAATGCTTTCGATGAGCACATGGGTTGCCATTACATTGTTTACATTCACTTCAGCTGTAATCGGGAGGTGTGCACTGACAGTTTCACGATGTACTTAAATGATTGATAAGCACGATCGGTAATTCGATCACTTGATCTGATACGCCGCCTTGTGGATGTTTCATGCAGAACCTACTCACGTGATTTTCGTCATTTGTTTACCCTGTTATCATGCAATCTTAAGTAATTAACATCAGCATTGCTGAAGTCGGTGAGATGAGTTCGTTCGGTGAGAACTCATTACAATTACTCAGTTTTATACTGCGGGAATTTGAGAAAATGTTTCTATGAATCTGCTGCGAGAGAGATAATAAAATTGATAAGCTAAAGTAAGTCAGTGTATACAAATATATATAATATAATATATTAGACTATACCACCGGAGCATCAAACAATCTGCTCATGATGTTGAGCTTTTCTTACATAAATACTTTTGAAATGAATTTTAAGATCAATATATAAAATAATTATATGGGTTCACGACAATTTAAAATATGCTTATGAATATAAAATTATAAAGTAGCTAAAATTCGCTATAAAAAAATGGAACTTACCATCCTGGAACTGGAACCGTGCTTAACCACTAACGATTTTATAATGAAAGTTTGATTATTATGGTTATCATAAATAACAACAGCAGTTGGGACAGTAGTTTAGAATGACCAACTAACTTCGGAATAAAGATGTAGATATTGTAATAAATTTCTAATTAATTAATCTATTTGAATATGAACTGTGATGAGAAGAAAGCAGTAAACTCATAATAACAGATTTATTACAAATAAAGTTCAGGGTTCGCTTATAATTTTGCATCAAAAGTATCCAATAAGAAAATTCATCAGACATAATTGGTTTATGCTTTGTGTGAAGTCAAGAGGAACAATTATAGAATTATGTATTTTGTTTATTTAAAAAACGAAAATAGATTTTAGTAATTCGATTTATAATAATAAAGTAATGTCTGCTTAAATGTAATATAAACTTACATTTAATCCTGTTCTGTTGAATATCGACAGTGTCTGATATTATAATGCCACGTACTGAAATCTTTTGTGAAGTTAGAAACCAACTATTAAAAAGTATTAATTAATGAAAGAAAAGTACAAAATATTAAAAAATATAGTTTTTAATATTGTCATGAATTCTCTAGGAGCTGCTGAAAAACATATCTTCTATTTCTCCCCATTCTCAATCCACCTTACAATTCTAACATCATTTACTAAAATAATTAAATCAATGTCTGTTTTGCATCAAATATATAGTTCGAATATTAAAAAAGTGGTATTCGCATAGTTGGAACTACTCGGATATATTTGAATTAGATCATTTTTAAACTGAATGGAATGGGAATATAAACATTTTTATATGGTTTAGTAAATATGGAAACATATTTTTTTTTGTAATTTTGAGACGTAATAACACAGTGGCTTTAATGACGGCTTTACTCCCTTTATGGACTTAAAGTGTCTTTCTACTTTTAAGTTCTAACTTTCGTTAAGTCAAACATTACTTACATTGGCTAATCTTACTTTTAATTGAAACTAATTGAATGGATTCTTATTTTGATAAATTGAATAATCATTTCTGTTACTTTTAGCAGAGATTATAGCT